GGGGTGCGGGCCGAGGGCGGCCACCGGAGGCGGGGCCGGCGGGGCCGCGGGCTACGCGCCCGTGAAGTACGTGCAGCCCATGCACAAAGGACCCGTGGGGCCGCCCTTCCGCGAGGGCAAGGGCCAGTACCTGGGTGAGCGCCTCCCCGCCCCGCAGGGCCTCGGACGGCTCCTGACCCCCACCTCCCTGCCTCCTGACCCCCCCACCAGCTCCTCCCTGGCCCCCAGCCACAGCCTCTCCATTCCCACCTGAGATCTCCCCCCGCCCTTCCCTTTTCGTCCTGACGCGGGTCCAGCGCCTCCGACCTCCGAGCGGTCGGAAGTGGGGCGCGACCGGCTGGCAGAAGGGGTCTTCCGCGCGGGTGGGGAAGGGGCGGGACCGAAGCGGGGGCCGGGGGAGGGGCGGACTGGTCCGACGGGCTCTAAGGAGGGCTGCTGGCGCCACCTGGCGTCCATTCCACCCCCCCAGGTGGTGCAGGGACGGGAGTCACCCCAAGCTCCGGGCGAAGGCCCAGCCTGGGTAGGTTGGGTGCTAGGAGCCCCCAAGAGGGCCGCTGGACCTAAACCCCCAAAGCCCATCTTCCATGAGTGCACGGAGAGGGAGACGGGGTGTGGCCTTCACGAGCAGATGTAGTGTTACCTCATGGGGGTGTGGGTAGATGCGACCCACGTCCCCACTTGCCGGGCCCCTGACTGCCCCTTCTCTCTGTCTCTCTCTCTTTCTCAGAAATGCCTCTTCCGTTGCTGCCGATGGACCTGAAAGGCGAGCCCGGTCCGCCTGGGAAGCCCGGGCCTCGGGGACCCCCTGGCCCTCCTGGCTTCCCAGGAAAACCAGGCACCGGAAAGCCAGGACTCCATGGGCAGCCTGGCCCTGCCGGCCCCCCTGGCTTTTCCCGGATGGGCAAGGCTGGTCCCCCAGGGCTCCCGGGCAAGGCTGGACCACCAGGACAGCCAGGGCTTCGGGGTGAGCCAGGGCTCCGAGGGGACCAGGGCCTTCGGGGGCCCCCAGGACCTCCTGGCCTCCCTGGGCCCTCAGGCATTGCTGTCCCTGGAAAGCCAGGCCCCCAAGGGGTGCCAGGACCCCCAGGATTCGGAGGGGAGCCAGGGCCCCAGGGGGAGCCAGGGCCCCCAGGGGATCGAGGTCTCAAGGGGGATAATGGAGTGGGCCAGCCAGGACTACCTGGGGCCCCAGGGCAGGGGGGTGCCCCTGGACCCCCTGGCCTCCCTGGTCCAGCTGGCTTGGGCAAACCAGGTTTGGATGGGCTTCCTGGGGCCCCTGGAGATAAGGGTGAGTCGGGGCCTCCCGGAGTACCAGGACCTAGGGGGGAGCCAGGGGCTCTGGGCCCAAAAGGGCCCCCTGGGGTGGATGGTGTGGGAATACCAGGGGCAGTAGGAGTGCCAGGGCCACAGGGCCCAGCAGGGGCCAAAGGGGAACCAGGAACCCGGGGCCCCCCTGGCCTGATAGGCCCCACTGGCTATGGGGTACCAGGACTGCCAGGCCCCAAGGGGGACAGGGGTCCAGCTGGGGTCCCAGGACTCTTGGGGGACAGGGGTGAGCCAGGTGAGGATGGGGAGCCAGGGGAGCAGGGCCCGCAGGGCCTTGGGGGGCCTCCAGGACTTCCAGGGTCTGCAGGACTCCCTGGCAGACGTGGGCCCCCTGGGCCCAAGGGGGAGACAGGGCCTGGAGGACCCCCAGGAATGCCTGGTATTCGGGGTGACCAGGGGCCTAATGGCCTGGCTGGGAAACCTGGGCCTCCAGGAGAGAGGGGACTCCCTGGTGCCCATGGACTCCCTGGACCAACTGGGCCCAAAGGTGAGCCCGGTTTCACGGGCCGCCCTGGGGGACCAGGGGTGGCAGGAGCCCTGGGGCAGAAGGGCGACTTGGGGCTCCCTGGGCAGCCAGGCCTGAGGGGCCCCTCAGGAATCCCAGGGCTCCAGGGCCCAGCTGGTCCTATCGGGCCCCAGGGACTGCCAGGCCTGAAGGGCGAACCCGGCTTGCCAGGGCTGCCTGGAGAGGGGAAAGTGGGGGAACCCGGAGTGGCTGGGCCTACAGGGCCCCCTGGGGTCCCCGGTTCCCCAGGACTCACTGGCCCTCCTGGGCCTCCGGGGCCTCCCGGTCCCCCTGGTGCCCCTGGGGCCTTTGATGAGTCTGGCATCGCCGGCCTGCACCTGCCCAACGGTGGCGTGGAGGGCGCTGTGCTGGGCAAGGGGGGCAAGCCGCAGTTTGGCCTGGGGGAGCTGTCGGCCCACACCACACCCGCCTTCACCGCCGTGCTCACCTCACCCTTTCCCGCCTCGGGCATGCCTGTCAAATTTGACCGGACTCTCTACAATGGCCACAGTGGCTATAACCCGGCCACCGGCATCTTCACCTGCCCTGTGGGCGGGGTCTACTACTTCGCTTACCACGTGCACATCAAGGGCACCAATGTGTGGGTGGCCCTGTACAAGAACAACGTGCCAGCCACGTACACCTATGATGAATACAAGAAGGGCTACCTGGACCAGGCGTCTGGCGGGGCCGTGCTCCAGCTGCGGCCCAACGACCAGGTCTGGGTGCAGATGCCGTCGGACCAGGCCAACGGCCTCTACTCCACCGAGTATATCCACTCCTCCTTTTCAGGGTTCTTGCTCTGCCCCACATAACACCACGGGGGCCTTGCCGCCTTGGCCTCTTCCTCTTTAGTGGTAGAGAGACCTTCTCAGTTACAAGAACCTCCATTTAAAGAAAAAAACCAAAGGCTGAACAGATGCGGAAGCAGAGGCGGCCGTGGCCTTGGCCCGAGGAGACTGGTTTGGTTCCTCCCTCCATGCAGGCTGAGGTGGTTTCTGGAAGAGGCTGGCCGGAGTTCCTCTCCCCGAAGTGTCTGTGCAGCGTTGGGGTTGTGCCCCCACTGCAGGCAGGGGCCCCAGGATGCTCAGCCCAGCTGCCGGAGCCCTCTGCCCTCTCTGGAGTCCTGGGCTCTGCTGGGTGGTGAAGGATGCTGCTTCTCTGAGTCAGAGCGGAGAGGGGACTGAGCTCCCCATTCCATTCCCCCAGGGAGACACAGGCCCAAGCCCTGCCCTTCCTGCTGGCCCCCAGATGGTACCTCGGATCTCGGCTGGGGCTCTTCCAGCTCCCCTGGGACCTCCATCCCCTGAAGAGTTTTTGCTTCCAGGGGAAAGCAAAGGGCAGGGAGCATCGAGGTCGCCAGTGTGGACGCCCTGCCAGGACTGCACCCCCAGCATGATGCTGTGGCATCAGGCCTGTCCATGGCAGGTGCAGGTGCGTGGCCCCTTCTCTGCAGGGTCCTGGGAAGGGCCAACCCCTTTTCTGCTCCAGCTGCAACCGCAGGAGCGGTGGTTTGTGATGGGAGGGGCACGGATCTGGGGCACGATGGCGGCCCTTCATGTCCACCTCCTTCTCCCAGGCTGCTCCCACTGACTGGCTCTGCTCAGCATTAAGGGCAGCCACACAGGCCCTTGGGGACTGCCACAGCAGGCCCGGGGCAGGATGGACCATCAGCGAACTCGAGTACCCTCCCTTTCTCTCCTTCCACCTGCTGGGGGAGGGCTGATTTTTTCATACAAAATTGTAAGGTATCCCCCCCCCCAAGTGTCCCCAAGGCAGAGAGCCTCTTTTTTGGCCCTCAGAACAAGGTACACACAAGCTCGGGGATGAAGAAGGCTCCCGCCTGCTTCTCCTTAACAAGAACCATATGGCGGGTATGTGTGTCTACTAGAGGGGTTAATCTGAGGGGGCTTCCTCTCCTTCTACCCTCTGGTTCCAATTTCCTGTTCTAAGCAGGATTAGGGCCCAGAAGGCTGAGGCTCTGAGGAAAAGGGTGCCAACAGGCCCCTTTGGAATGAGTTGCCTCTGGATGTTTCTGCCGTTTTCCCCAAGCAGAGCGCCCCCTGCAGGAAACGGGCAGGATCCCTCTCCCATCTCCTAGTTCAAACTCAGTGGATAAAGCTGAGATTAATGCTGGAGCAAAGATGGCCACTTTCCCAGGGGGCGCGGGGCCTCTCCATCAGCCCTCCCCGAGCCGACCCACTTCTCTGTACCAAGTGTGAACCTGGGTCGCCCGGTGTGGTCTCGCACTGCTCCGATTCTGGCCAGCACCAGACCATCCGTGTTGGGGAACGGTGGTGGCTGACCTCTGGCTCACTGCGCTGCGGGCCCCCGGGCCCCTGGGCAGGCCTCCTCCCCGACCCACTTCTCCCAACAAAGCAGGCCCTTTGCTTGTTTTGTCTTTCAAAAGAAGTGAAACCCAAAGCTGTGCAAGAGACACTTGAACAGGTTTTGGCTGGGGTTCATGATAGATTGCTTGATCTCCGATACCCGAGAGAATGAATGAGTCTCAAACCGAGCGTGCTGGGGTCCTTTTTGCTCAGCCTCCTTCCTGGGCCAAAGCCACCAGCATCTGATCGGTCAGGGAGGTGTTCCGATGGGTGGAGATTCATCAGCTCTCTCAGGGGGAGCCCAGGGGACTAAGGAGGGCACTGGGGGAGCCAGAAAGAGCTGTTTCACAGAACTTAGCTTCTGCTAAATGTCATTCCTGAAGCCTTTGGGGAGGGGTGGCTGGTGTTTCTGAAATGTCTATGGGATTTTAGTGCCAGGTGTCCACTTGACTAGCTTTGATAAACGATGCCAAGTTTTAACTATGAAAACTACGGTACCTTGGTGCATTTTTATATTGATTCCTAGGGTTTTTTTTTTTTTTTTTAAGATTAAGGTTTGAATGTTTTCATTGGTAATTTCATTTCTAACCTGGTATAGGAAGCTTAGTTCTCTACATACCTATTATGTGCCCTGTGTCACAGATTAGGAAAAAATGCACTTGGGAACAACAACAAAAAAAGCAAAAAGGGACTTCTTTTTGAAAAGAAAACCAGCAGTATTGACGGATTGTACTGACACCACCTCAATAAAACCTCTTGTATGAAATACCGCTGTGCGGGCCCAGCAGCAACGCGGGGGGGGTCTCAAGCCTCTGGGGCTCCTGCTCTTCGCCTTCTCTCAAGGAGCATGCGTTCCTCCCCAGGCCCCCAGCCGTGTTTCTGTCACCACCACATCAGAAATGCTCCATGCTCCTAGGCTGCCAAGGCTCTGCACCAAGAGGCATTTTAAGCAACCAAAGCAAGGCAGTGATTGCAGCGAGGGGAGATGGTTTGAGCTTCCCTGGAACATTCCCGCAAGCTCTCAGGGGTACTGGGGCATGACAGCTGGCTCCGGATCCCAGGGACCAAGTTTCAACATTTGATACAAATTATGAATGAAATCATGACCCTTTGATCCTGAGGGTGGGGGCCAGTGCCAGGCCCACTGCTGAAGGCAGGACTCGGGGGGCTGTCCTGGGTGGAAAGCACCTGCCCACAGCTGCTGTGCTCAGCGCTAAGAATCTGTCTGGGGCTCTAGGGATGGGGGCAGCAAACCTGAAACAATCCAAGCCCTGGAAAGTCCTGTGGTTTGCCCCGGCCCGGCAGGACACCGTCTCAGCTGAAAGCAGGCCTGCCCGTCAGTCCTCAGACCTGAGGCTGGCTGCAGAACTGGGTATGCTTCTCTCTCCACCGAGGCTGGAAGGATAATTGGAGAATATCCCTAAAGTTAGAGGGGAGGGGTCTTCTCCCTTTCAATTTTCCTTTCTTCAGAATGAATAGTGTGCAAAACTTCAAGTGAAGGCCTTTGACTGGGGCCCAAGATACAGAATGAGGCCCATAGCCTTCAGTCCACCCAGGGCACCGACATGATGCACCCTCCTCACCCAAGGGTTGGCAGTCTGGTGGGAGAGGGTGCCCTTTGCATCCTCCTACTGGGGTCCTGTTCCTGGGCCAGCAGGACCTGGGACCTATTTGGGGAGCAACCTATGAAGCCTCTGAGAGCAGGGACATCTGGCTTGTCCTGCCACTGCCTGGGCCACTCTGAATGATCTCCAACAGGAAAAAGCACCAAACCATGCCCGCTCTGCCCTTCCTGGCCAAACAGCACAGCCGGTTGGAAGAATGGGAGGAATCTGCCCAACAACCCCGCAGCCTTGCTACTGGCTCCTAGCAGAGCGGATGAAGAGGTACAAGGCTTGAGAAGGTCAAGGGGGTGTGCGGGGTGGGGTGGGGGTGGGGCGGAAATTCCTTCAGGGCAGAGGAGAAACATGGGCACCAGTGGTGGGATTTACCAAAAGCTGTTTATTGCTGTGACTTCCGCTGGAAGCTGTTAACAAGCCCCATGACGGCCAAGGGCCAGGTGTACATCCAGATCAGCTAGATGCAAGTGCTGGTTTCCTCGACCCAGGGGCTCTGCCCAGTCAAAGACATGCTTTCTGGCAAATTGGCTACATCTCAACGAGAAGAAATGGTGCCACTGCCGATCATTTCTGCCCACACCCCCCACCCCCATCCCATGTCTTGAATAAGACAGGAAAATGCCACGGATACCCTTCCAAAGTAAAACCTGTCCTGATCCCTCCCGTCCGCCCAAGGAGCCGAGGGGCCCCAGGCTCTGCAGTGAGCCGGAAACCCGGCACCAGTCGTCCCCTCGCTGTCCAGTCACCTCCCCCGGGACCCCAGCCCAGCTGTGTGCTCTGCCCACACCGCAGGCTGACGGAGGCGGGGACCAGTACCCGAGGAACCACAGCGTCTCCGATCCAAGCTGTAGTGGGGCCGGCTGGACATGGCGGCGTCCCAGCTGCTGAGGCCCTCACAGACTCTTCTGGAAGAGACGGTGCAGGCTGTGGGCCAGGACGTCCGTCTCCTCATAGCCCTCGCAGCTCTGCTGCCAGCTCCCTGGCACCTGTCCCATCCCATAGTAGGCCCCGGCAATGGCCCCAGCCATGGTGGCAATGGTGTCTGTGTCCCCCCCGAGCGAGATGGAATAGATAAGAGTCCTCTGGAGGCTGTTGAAGGCAGAGGGGATCTCGGGGTCCGGCTCCATGCAGCGCAGGAAGCAGTAGATGGCGGTGGGCACAGATTCGAAGGCAGCGATGCCATTGCCTGTAGGGAAGGCAGCACATGGGGACCCCACGCTCCCCCACCCTCTGTGTCCCCAGGCTCCTTCCGGCCGTGTGCCCCAAGTCAGTGCTCTCAGTTTCAAGCTGGGCTGGGGTTCGGAGCACAGGCTCTAGGATTAGACTACCCAGGCTCAAATCCCGGCTCTCCGTCCTGCTAGCACGGGGCCGGGCAAGTTCCCTCGCGGCCGAGATTCCGGTTTCTGGGATTCGACTCCTCGGGCAGAGAGGGAACAAAGGCTGGTGTGGGGGTGAAATGAGCCACAGGCAGAGGGTCCTGTATGCTGCCCGAACACAGCACAGGTACTCTATAAACAAGCACCAGGGGTCAACATGAACGGTCAAAACTAGTGGCCACCTGCCATTCCTGGGGACACCGAGCTGTGAGGCCGGCAGCGTGGCAGCCCTGGTAACCCCAGCAAGGAGGCGCTGTGTTCCCGACCCTGCCAGGGACCGCAGCCGCGGGCGAGAAACGCGGCAGCAGGCGTGCCCCAGGCTCCCGTCCTTCCCGAAGCCCAGGACTCGCCCTGAGGATGCCGGGTGTGAGGGTCCACCCACCTAGCTCGGACACCACCTCCTCTCTGGTCACCGAGTCCTGCTCCAGAAGAACGCCAATCTTCTTCAGTCGGCTGGAGTAGGGACGCTCCTCCATGCCCAACCTGTGGGTCGGGGGCGAGATTTCAGGGAGGTCGGAGCCGGCAGGCAGGGGGAGGGATGTGGGAGGGGGAGGCGGGGAGGTGATCAGGCTGACACCCAGCACTGGTGTCCTGACAAGAAGTAGGAGAGGGCTAGGTGTGAGCCGCTCGTCTTACTCTCTGGTACCCTAAGAGCCTCGGAGTAGAGTCAAGGCAAAGGGGCTCCTCCCACCCCTCCTCAAAGTCTGCAATTAAAAAAGAAAGGTTTCAGCTTGTGGAGATGCCAGAGGACCCCACAACGCATGCACACCCACACACGCCCTTCCAGCCTGCCTCCTTGCCATACTCACTCCCTGGCATCTGAGACGGACTGGGCGTCACTCTCCAGCTCTTCCATGTGGCCCAGGAGTTGTTCGAGGAAATGTTCACTCGACGACTCCCCCTGCAAAGCCAGGTGCACGGCCAGGGCCTGCAGGATGGCGCCGTTGTAACCCAGGGAGGAGGCGTGTGTCAGCTGGGCTGAGAGCCGGGCAAACTAGGGCAGAGGCAGTGGGAGCAAAGACGTGCTGTCACAGAACCCGGGCTGCAGAGACGAGGGAGGAAGGGAAACGCCCAGCAGCCAGCCCGCCTGGACTACCTTCTGCACATCCTGGACATCGCTATAGGCCAGGGAGATGCCGGCCACCCGCATGGCACCCCCGTTGCCATAGGAGCCTTTCCCGTTAAACTGGGCCCGGGCGGGCTCAAAGACATCGCGGCACTTGGGGCTCAGGAGCTTCTTGAAGACAGTGATCACTCCAGCGCCGTAACCCCGGTCAGGCTCTTTCTTGTACTCCTGAGCGAATCTAGGGGAGAGAAGGGAGACAGGATGCGGGCTGAACAGATGTGTGCTGGGGCCCGAAGAGGAGAGCTCTGGCTGGTCCGGGAAAAGCAGCAGCCTCAGGGCCCTAGGGATCCCGTAGCAGCAGTGCTGCCCCTTCTGCCCTGCCGAGGGGGGCGCCCAGCACGCACCCACCCACATCATCGCTCTGGTCAAGAAGTACGGTTACTCTGCCCACCCGCTTCGCCTCCCCCCAGGACCGCCCCCCTCACCTGTGAGCCATGTCCACCTCGTCGAAGGCCTCCTTGGCCAGCAGGGACTGCACCAGGGCCCTGGCCATGGCCGTGTCATCTGTGTAGTACAACACTTCTGCAGGGACAGGGTGGGGGGGAGGGGGAGATCGCGCTGCAGGGCTCGAAGGTGGAAGCTCCGGCCACCCCCCTTTTTTAAGGAAGCTCTATACCCAGTGTGGGGCTTGAACTCAGGACCCTGAGAACGAGGTACATGCTCTACTGACCGAGCCTCCCTCTCTCCCACCCAATTTCCTGGGTTCCGGGCCTGGGGATTTTCAGTAATTCTTTATTCCGAATCAGTTATAATGACCTGCTGATTTCTGAAGGAAAATCTTCTGCCCCCCTCTGACTGCCATGACCGTAGCTCTCCTGCACCACCCTCCAACCCAGCTTGTATGTGCAGCCAGAAAATTCTTCCTAAAAGTGACTATCCCTTTCCTCATCTCACTCTCTTGCTCTAAATCGCTGTCTGTTGCTTTCAGGATTAGGCCAAATTCACTGCCTTGGCCTTCAAAGCCCTTCCGTTACATCCCACCGCTCCCCTCCACATCCCCAGAACCAACCTTGGAGCCTGGGTCAACAGCCCCTCCACCTGCCCCACTCTTTTTTTTTTAAGATTTTATTCATTTATTTGACAGAGAGAGAGAGATAATGAGAGAGGGAACACAAGCAGGGGGAGTGAGAGAGGGAGAAGCAGGCCTCCCGCTGAGCAGGGAGCCCGACGCGGGGCTCGATCCCACGACCCGGGGATCATGACCCGTACCAAAGGCAGATGCTTAACAACTGAGCCACCCAGGCGTCCCAAGCCCCTCTCCTTCTGGGTGCCCAGGACTACCGCTCTGGCACTTCGGACAAGCAATGCCGGTTATATGAAGATGTCCCACGTAGGCTGTGAGCCAGCAACGGACCAGTAGCACTTGGTTTTACTGAAGGAAGAGATAGCTACAGAGAAGGAAGCACACTCCCTAGCGATCCCCCACCCCACTCCCACTCCTCTGTGTACCACAAGCCCCCTGCCCCACTTTCTCCCCTTCACTCTTAGGGGGCTCCTAAGAATAGGGCTCTAAGTGGAGCTCCTAAGAGGGGCTCCTCTGGCTTTACTAGGAAGAGGGGTGGACAGGCCTCTTACCCACAGCCACACTCTCCTGTCACCTCTTGACCAAGTCAGTCCCTCTTCCAGTCCACCCAGCCCAGCTCCCCAGCGGATTTGTTCTTCCTCCCTCTCCTCTCCTGTCCCCTCAACCTCTCCCTGTGTGGTGTAGTAGCACCCGTGCTCCCTTCGTTTGGTCCCTGAATCCTGCTTTCCCCCAGGGAGCCACTTCTCTATCATTCTCAGCCCATGTTATTGGGGCATAAGGTTCACACCACCACTACCCTCCTCAAATAGCACACCCTACTCCTTTGTTTAGGGATGGACAGATGGCCAAGCCAGGCCAAGGAGATGCAGTCTGGGATTTCTGCTGGGGCCGCTGCAGACAGACTCTTCCTCTGCTGGAGCTGCTGAGACCACATCATGGGGAGGGTCTGCCAGAGAGAGTGAAGTCAACCTGTCAGAACACGGATCTGAATAAGGAGGGGATGGGGTGCCTGGGTGGCTCAGTCATTGGGCGTCTGCCTTCGGCTTGGGTCATGATCCCGGGGTCCTGGGATCGAGCACCGCATCGGGCTCCCTGCTCGGCGGGAAGCCTGCTTCTCCCTCTCCCACTCCCCCTGCTTGTGTTCCTGCTCTCATTGTCTTTCTCTGTCAAATAAATAAATAAAATATTAAAAAAAAAATCTTTAAAAGGAGGGGAGCTGGGTCTTAATGATGTGGTTTGAACCCCTGGATTCATCTCCACCTGAAGCCAGACCCACCTCTGGACTTCTCAGTTATGTCAGCCAATGCACTCTCTTTTTGCTTAGGTCATTATGAGCTGAGTTTTCTGCTACTTGCATCCAAAAGGTTCTAAAACACCTAAAATGTTTTTCTTTCATCTTAACATCAAAACAAAGATAAAATTAAAAACCATTCCTCCATCTTGTCTTTGCCTCAACCACGGCTCCTGTCTCTCCTTCCTATCATACCAAACCATACTCTTATTTCCTTTCTCCACTTCCTCCTAAACCCACTGAAATCTTACTTCCAGGCTTCAACATTCTACTGAAAACGGTTTTTGAAATCCAAACTTCCCTCTCCTTAACCAACTGAGCCACCCAGGCGCCCCAAACTTCCCTCTCCTTAACCTCTCTGTAGCATGACACCAGTGACCATCTTGAAATTCTCCTGGGTTTTGCTGATGCCCTGCCCCCCCGCTTCAACTCCCATCAAACCGTTTCCAACTCTAGCTCCTCCGGGGTTCTGAGGATGGCCCCTTTTTCTTACTATCCTACACGCTCTCCAAGAATCATCCGCCGCTTGACCTCAGAGATCTGGGTGAGGACCTGGCTGCGCAAGGGGAGGAGACAGGCTTTGTATATAAAAGACAGCACGGCAAAGGCCTGGGCTACAGGAAGCTGCTGTGAGAGCAGCTGAGCGCAGAAAACAAGGCCAAGGGTGGCGGAAGGTGAACCTGGGGACTCAGGCGAGGGCCGGCCAGGTAGGACACGTTTAGGAATTTGGTTCTATTCTGAGGGTAACGGAAAGTCACTGCAGAGCTTCCGGCGGGGGAGACCCGTCACGTCCGTTTGGAGTAGCGCACTCCCTGCTGTGTGGAGAATGGGCTGGCGGTGCACACGGGGGACCAGGCGCAATGCCGGGGAATGACGCCCGGGTCGCCGGCTTGCACGGCTGAAAGGACGGGCTTGCCAGGCCCCCAGCCGGGAACGTTCCAGGCGAGACGAGCGAAGCTGGGGCTTGGACTCTGACGCGCTGGGTCCGAGCTGCCCGCGGCTCCTCCAGACCCGGCCCCTGCAGCACCGGGCAGCTTCACCTCCGACGCTTGTCTCTCCCGCCCGAGCCCCCGGGGACCCCTGGCCAACGCGTCCCCACGTGCACCCGGCCCCGCCCACCTGTCCGCGCGCTCCCCGGCGAGCCCGGGTCCGGCTCCAGGCTCTGGACGTGACGCAGGACTGACGTCAGGGTGACGGTGTCGTGCGCCTCGTAAAAGGAACCCACGCAGTCCCCGAGCAGCGCGCCGGCCAGGCAGCCTCGGAAGCGGGAGAGGGAGCGGGCCGCCCCAGCCCCCGC